TGTCCTTGGAACAGATTCCTCATTAGGACTGTGAGATGTAGTGGCAGCCCCATGACTTTGAGTGCATTCCATAGCTTTTCATGATCTATACAATGAAATGCTTTGCTGTAGTCTATGAAACAAATGCTGATTCTTTTTTGTAATTCTTTAGTGTGCTCCATTAGCCATCCTATGTTTGCAATGAGATCCCTAGTGCCCTTTCCTTTTCTGAATCCTGCTTGCACCTCTGGAATTCCTCTCTCGATGTATGATTGGAGTCTATATTGCAGAATTTTGAGCATTATATGTGATATTAGTGCTATCAACCTATAGTTGCTGCAGTCTTTTGCATCTCCTTGCTTGTAGATTGGTATGTATATTGAGCATTTCCAGTCTGTTGGCAACCGCTTTGTTTTCCATATTTGTTGGCATATTTCAGTTAGCATCTGTCTGTAGGCACTGTAGCAGTTCAATTGGGATATCATCTGTTGCCAGTGATTTATTTTTTTCCCCATTTCCTTTATTGCAGATTCCACTTCATTTCTTCCACTTCATTTCTTAGAGTTGGGGTTCGTCTTCATATGGCTCCTCATTCCAAATATCATTCATTCCCTCATCACTTTTGCATAACTCTTCTGTGAATTGCTTCAAGCATTTTTTTATTTCTTCTTGTTCCTTTATTATGTTCTTTTTTTGTCCATAGAGCATTCCTGCCCTCAGTTTGAACTTAGCTGTAATTTCTCAGATTTTTTAATACAGGTCTCTTGTTCTCACTTTTTTTCTTTTCTTCTTTTTTGTTGTCTTCGATTCCTCTGCATTGGTCATTGTAGTATTTCTCCTTATCCCTGCATGTCAGACGTTGGACAGTTGTGTTCATATTTCTGGCTTTGTTCCTATCTCCCTTTGCTTTTGCTTTTCTTCTTTCTTCTTTGCATGAAGTGTTTCATCTGTCATCCATTGTTTCTTATGTTTCTTTTTGGCCACTGTTAGTGGATTTTTGTTTTTGTTTATTTGCATTCATCCTTAATTATATCTTTGACTTCTGTATGCAGTTCTTCAGGTTCCCAGTTGATTATACTCAATAGATCATATCTGTTTCTTAAATTGTCTTGCTATGTTATTCAGGTCATATTTTGGTAAAACAATGGTTTTTGCTCTAATTTTGGTTGTGAACAGTTCATGGTCTGTGCCACAATCAGCTCCTGATCTGGTTTTGGCCACAAGGATGGAGTTTTCCATCTTCTACTTCCAGTTATGTAGTCTATCTGGTTTTTGTGTTTACCATCTGGTGATGTCCAGGTGTATAGTATCCTATCTGATTGTATGAAGCAGGTATTTGCAATGAATAGATTATTGGCCTCATATTGCAAATATACAATGGCTAATGGAGTGTAGCAGGGAGTTCCAAAACAAAACCAGCATGTTCTTTATAGACTATAGCAAAGCCTTTGACTGCATGGAATGCCCTTAAAGACATGGGAGTGCCAGCACATCTGATAGTCCTGATGACAAGGCTGCAGCCTATCACCCTACCTATTCAACTTCTATGCAGAACATATTGTAAGGAATTGGACATGGAGGAGTGAAAATAAGAGGAAGAAATATCAACAATCTGAGGTATGCTGATGACACCATAGTACTAGCAGAAAACTACTAAGATCAAAGGAGAAAGTGCAAAGGCAGGCTTACTGTTGAACATAAAGAAAACAAAAATAATGACCATAGAGAACTTACACACATTCAAACTAGACAATGAGGAAACAGAAACAGTAAAAGAGTTCTCATATTTGGGATCACACATTGATCAGAACAGGGACTGCAGCCAGGAAATCAGGAGAAGATTAAGAATGGGAGGGCAGCTATGAAAGAACTAGAAAAGATGCTAAAATGCAAATGCTAATACATGCCACTCAGCAAAAAATCAGAATCATACAAGCCATCATATTTCCTATTACCATGTATGGATGTGAGAGCGGGATGGTCAAGAAAGAAGATAGGAGGAAAATCAATGCATTTGAGATGTGGTGCTGGAGAAGAGTGCTGAAGATCCCATGGACAGCCAAAAGGACAAACAAATGGGTCCTAGAGCAGAGCCAGAGATATCCCTAGAAGTCAAGATAACAAGACTTAGACCAGGGATAGGCAACCGCTGCCGCCCTCCCCCCCGCCGCCTGCCATGATGATATTGATTATTGTTGTTATTACTTGTTCTTGGAGTTTTCTTGGCAAAATCTCCACAGGGGTGTTGCCATGGCTTTTCTGGGGCTGAGAGAGTGTGCCTACATATTTTTTTAAAAAAATAATTTTTAAAAGAATATTTATTTATTTATTTATTTATTTATTTATTTATTTTTGGTGCTTTGGCCCCCCAATTGTCTGAGGAACAGCAACCCGGCCCCCGGCTCAAAAAGGTTGCCTAGCCCTGACTTAGACCATCATACTTTGGACACATCATGTGAAGGCATGAATTGTTGGAAAAGACAAGAATGTTAGAAAAGAAGTAGAAAAAGAAGAAGGTCACATGCTAGATGGATGGACTTTATTAAAGAGTCCACAAATATGAGTTTGCAGGAGCTGGGCAGAGCATTAGAGGATGGGGGGCCCTGGAGTTATCTCATCCATAGGGTCGCCATGGGTCGAAGCCAGTTAACAAATGAACAAAGAAATATGCAAATATTCCAAATCCAGGGGGTGGGAAGGTAGTGCTGGTGGAAACAAAACTTCAAACATTTCTGGTTCCAAGCATTTTGGATAAGGGAGACTCAACCTGTATAACTCTAAATTTCTGTTTTGTTTTGTTTTTGTTGTTTAAAAAAAAATCAGAGAAGAGAAAGTTTATGTTTCAAACCAGAGAATCACTTTTTAAAAATCCTTTAGAAACATCC